AAAAAAGTTACTCAATACAGATCTACTGGTAGTTTGACAGTTCTGTTTGCACTTTTCTTATATAATTCAAAATTCAAGTAAGCCAGGAGGAGTATTACAGCTTCAAATGAGCAGTGTTTTACACGTGCATTTTGTTTAGTTTGTTTTTTGTTAGGTTTTTGTTGTTGTTCGTTTTGGTTTGGTTTGGTTTGGGGGTGTTGTTTTGTTGTTTTGTTGTGTTTGTAGCTGTTTTAATCTAGCTTCCTTCAACAATTCAGCATTATAACCAAAAGGAAAGGAAAGCGAAGTGGTAGCATAGCAATGTAGTGGCAAGCTACATAGTGCAGTCCTCAAAATCAACAGGGCTGTAAACTTTCGTTCAACGTACTAAACTTTTAGTAATCTATTTTTTAGAGGCACCTGTCATTTTCCAACTCAGATTTTTTTTTCCTTTTATGAATAAACATCCTTTATCTGTGATTTTACACCGTGATCTTGTCTGTCGGGAGGACAACATCAAGGAATGGACAGGCCTGGAACTCAAAGACACGCTCAGGAAAGCTGAAGACCTGGAGGAGTGGAGGAAGCTGGTGGTCCAATCTTCGAACGCGCCCAGAGAGACATCCAGTCCATGGGTTAGGTGAAGGTGAAGGTGAAGGGTGATCTTGTCTGTACTACCAGAGAGCTTAGTATACAGACTGTCTGGCACTACTTATTCGTCAGTACCGACACCCTCACCACGACCACGAGCATGATTATCTTCTCCTGCAAACAAAAACACGACCACTGTGTAATATTCTTAAATAGAAGGACATGTACATGTAGATGTACGTTTTCTCTTCCTTCTTGTATCCAAATGAGGGCCATGTATTAATAATTATACAATGTGCATACTTACATACACAAATACATATTTACCTTAATAGAACACACAAACAGTGTGTGAGTATGTGTGGGTGCGAGCGTCTGTGTGTGCAAGGATGTCCGTGTGTGTGGGTGTCTGAGTGTGTATGTGAGTGTTTATGTGTATCTATGTGTGTCTGCGTTGGAGTCTGTATGTCTTGTGTATGTATCATGTGTGTCTGTCTCTTTCTGTGTGTTTCCGTGTGTATGATTGTATGTGTGTCTCTTTCTCTCTCTCTCTCTCTCTCTCTCTCTCTCTCTCTC